CCGCCGCCCCGGCCGCCGCCCGCCGCCGGGCCGGCGCCGGGGGGGCCCGCCGGGAGGCGTTGGAGCGGGGCGGGCGGCCGATGCAGCGAGGGCCCGTGTGGGACGCTGTGAGGCGGAGCGCTTCTCCCCGGCGGCCTGCGGGCTTGCTATACGGCGGCGAGCTTGTTCCCTGAGAAATGTGCTCCTCGGGTTATCCCGGAGAGGGGAGGAGCACGCCGTTGCGTGAGGAAGGGCGGGTTTTGTTTCTAGCTCCGTCTTCCAGTTGTTGGATGGGACTGGGAAACAGTTAAGATGGTGGCTCGTTGGGGCAGAGCCTTACCCGGACGGAGTTTGGCTGTGTGATGCCCACTGGCGTGGGTAATACTTTATGTATGTTACATGTACGTTTTCTGCTTCCCCGGCTTTAGAAGGGGGAGTTTGTTTATCTCTGCACAACCCATGGATAAAGCCTGTGAGGCTGTGTGGTAGGAGGTGGAAGAGTGACAGGAGTCATGTCGTGGATGGGTTGTGCTGAGTTTGATACCTGGGTTTTGTGCTGCAAGCTGCTGTGGGAAGGTATTGCAGGCCTGCGGTGATAAGGGCATGACACGTTCCATGTCCATTTTCCATCAGGCTGTATCTCTTCGTATTGTCTCCAATGGGAATAAATCCTGATCATATCTCTCCTATTCTTTGCAATTTATCAAGCAACAGTCATGTAAGTCTGATGCTATTATTGTGTATCTTTGCTAATTGTGGGCTTCTGAAGAACAATAAAGAAACTGTGTAGGATGTTGCTAACTTCAACAGCAGTAAGGTGAGGCCATAAGACTTATGCTGCCTACGTGTAGACTTGGTATATTGTCCCAATTTACAGCTCCTTGTGCGATTTCAAAGATAACTTATGTTAGGTTCCAGCTTCTGCCAGTCTTTCTCTTGACCACTGGAAGTTGAAGTAATCATGCCAGACAGTAGTAATACAAAGGAAACATCAATACACAAGCTTTGATTTTTTTTGGTGTTTAAGTCTGTTTCTCACTGGTTGCACACTGAGTTTAACTACCGTGTAAGCTGAACATAGAAAATTATCATGTATTCTTTCTGCTTTTCCAATTAATAAGACATTTTTACTGGCAGGTTTTGAAGATGAAGCAATACGTAAATAGCATAGAGGTGTTTTCTTTTTTCCCCAGTGAAAACAGAAACTTAAGAGGAAGATACCTGAAATGGCCTTAAAATGCACTACAGTACTCTCTAGGGTATTTTTAATGAAATAATGTAATCAAGTCCCTGATTCTGTATGTTCTTTTTTGTGCATTAAATCTGTATGTGACCGTTTCCATTGCATTCATTCATAAATGAATTGTGAAGGAGAGAAAGTTAAGTGTATGTGGAATTAAAAACAATATGAAAAATCCAAGTTAAATTGCGTACCTAGACTCTCACTGTTAAGCAGTTCTTCATGTAAGCGGTTTCATCAAAGCACTGTTTAAGTGAGTAAAGGTCTCCCAGTATTCGCAAGGAACTGACAATATGACCTGGGATGATAGATGAACAATACGGTATAGAAGTAATAAGTAGTTCTTTAACCTGATAAATATTATGGGCAAAATAATCATTGCAGGTTGTACAGCTAGCTATGAACGTGTGCCATCATACTCTGCATAGTTAAGAAAATAAATTAAGCCTTGTCAGGGAATTTTGAACCAATACAAGGGTGGGAAACTCGGGTAAATAAGTTGTTGTGTACTGTCATCACATATGCCTCATCTTTCTGTCTCCTTTTCTTGTTCACACTCTGACATTTGATTCTACACCATAGCCACAGCAAGGCTTTTCCAGCCATATAAAAAAAGATAAACCAGACTAAGGCTGGTGCTTTTCCTCCGTGGTGTTTCTTAAAATACTTTAGGAATTTTGCTTGCCCCTAGATACACATACTGGTTTTTCTCCATGTTCATCTTTTGAAAGATCTGAGAGAAGACCCTTTGGCCAACTGGGTCTTCATGTTAGATGTCTGGATGAATTTTGTTTCAGTAGTCCTAGCCAGGGACTGTGTGTAGGCTAAGAGCACAAATTTTAACTTATTTTGAGATTTACCTTCTCACATTATGGCATCAGAAAGACAATCGTTAAAAACAAGCCCACAAGCAAACCAGGCTGCTGGGTAGGATGGATTGGGAAAAGTGAGGCGAAGTCGACCTCCTGAAGCCAGAATTGTATCCATGCAGCTTCTTCCAACGTTGAAGCGCTTGCCTGGAATGAGGCTGCCTCTTCAATGCCATAGCTCAGGGTGTTTGCAGGGGTTTTGCAGGCCAGCAGAGAGAAATTTGGGCTGTCTGCAACTCTATTGCTGTACAGAGTACTTGACAGACTTTAAAGAAAATAGTCTTGACCAGTCCACAACTTTCGAAGAAATTTTCTAAATGTTTATAATTTAGTGGGATTTTCATGTAGTTTCTCATTTATCTTCATCCTACAGCTATGTTGAGTCCAGATTCTGCTTTACTTTGGCTTCCAGCTTCTTTTGAAGTCCATCATAAAAACTTCCATCATAACATGCCTTAGTATAACATGCAAATGCATTGGCCCCTAGAGCATCCTTTCTGAGTAGATGTATTAATAAATATAATGTTTCTCTGCTGCCACTGGGGTGGAAGATGTAGTGGAGTCTGCATTCCTTAAGCAATATGGGTTTCTATTTAAAAGGAAATACATTGTAAAGAATTCCATCAAACTGTTACAGCTTTGACTGCCCTTTGGCAAGAAGTTCACATGCTTTTTTAATTTAAATGTTACCTGTTTACTTGGCTTTTTTAAGATAGAATACTTTCCCTTTTTGTAATAGAGATAGTTGTAAAGCAGTATTCATATAAGACTGTTGCCTGAGTTATATTTCAAAGATGTGTTTTCATTCTACTTTTCAAATACTTTAATTTACAGTTTTGGAATAGTAACAAAAATTTTAAAAGGATATGTTTGGAATGAGGTCATCTTAATTCCTTACAAGTCAAAACATTATTTTCCAAGATGAAAACTGTGAACTAAGTTCTTGAAATATGATGTATTTTCTAAATCTTGCTTAATTCGATGTAATATATATGTTTCTTGGGGACTGTTCTTACAAAGATTTTAAATTTTTTTCCTCATTGTTTTATATAATGCTTTAAAACTATTGTTAAGATTTAGGAGTGTGCTTAAAAAGTTTCAGTTGTCTCTGGGAAAAATAGTCTTAATTTATGTTGACCTTTCTTTCCTTTGAGCATTTAGTCTGCATTCAATAAAATTTTGATGACTGCTCTTTAGAAGACAGCTGTACGATATAAAGTATTATAAATATTCAGCTTTCCTCTTCTAACGTTGCCATTAACAGCTGGGCATCCAGTTCAGCAGAGCAGATTTTGCAGAGAGAGCTTGGCATGTTCCTGAATCAGTATAGTGAAGAAGACTAGAAAATAGTTTCTTATGGTTTGGGGACCTGTAAAGACATAGAGCATCTGTTCCCCAGTTAAGTCATAGTCTGGTAGCACTGAATCATGTTAAGAGCTAAAATGATGGCAAGAACTACTTTTTTCACCTTGGCTGTACCTGTGTTTTAAATGCCTAATACATTATTTCTACTAATGGCAAAATAATTTCAACCCTTGCTCAGAAGGTATGTAAATGATAATGCTTTTGCATTTTATAATTGTTTATAGTCTTTGAGAAAGAGACAAATATACAGTGCAATTTCACTTCAGTGTCTTGATTTTTATCTCTAGTATAAAATGGAGAATTGGATTTTCTTATGCAAACACTTTATCCTTCTAAACAAGCAACGTTTTTGGTACACAGTATCTTAATCAGTTAATGTATTTGCTTTGGATGACATTAGTTTTCTTGTGTAGTATAAAAAAATGTGAAACACAAGAAAAGAAAATGTCTTTAAAGTTACCAATTATAGACCTTACTACCAGAAATCTTTGTGTCTAGACGACCATAAAACTTGTCCATATTCTTCTCTTTCAGAGTTAAGAGAGCATTAAAGTTGGACACTGTTAAAAAAGATAATGTAAGTATTTTTTGGCGTATGGAATCATCTGGGCTGTATATATAGGTATGTGTGTATATATATCTATATGCACACATATATGTGTATATACATGTGATATTTCATTAGAGCTGCATTTATATGGTTACAGATTGGATGTTGTCTAGAAAAATCTTAACAAGGCACAAAATTACTGCTGAAAATATTAGTATAAAATTTATTGTATTCCATTTGTCATAGAACTGCCTGGCTTTAAGTAAGGTACATCTGCATGAATCACTTGAAAATAATGGAGAAATATGCATATTTTTATTGCCATCACTATTTACCCAAGAGCTGAATGAGTTAAGATCCTTGGTGAAATCATTTATTAGAAATTAGCTCCATTATCCTGGAACCAAATGTTCTGCCATGTAATTGTACATGCAACAATATGGAATTATGATAATGCTGTAATCTGCATATTATAAACTGCAAAATTGAAATGAAAACATTAAAGGCATTTTCATGTCAAGGATATAATTACCTCCCTCAGCTAATCTGGCATAATGAAACAATAAAGTACTAACACTGCAGTACATTTCACCACAGTTATCACAATAAAAATAAAATTGTACTGTTGCTATTATTTTTTGTAAATGCAGCTATAGTGTACTCCCAGTACCAGCATGTCATGACATATGTCAGTTTATTATCTGCTCCTACCAACAGTGGGTGTTGCTGCAGACATCAATACAGAGGAGCTTATGAGGATGGCAGTGTTTAAAGGAAGGAAAATTTTGGAAAAGTATAGAGAGAGAAATAGCTGGTCGGCAAATGAGCTCCCAATAAATTTCCACGTCTGTGTCATTTTAAAGAGATGTTTATATGCAGCACATATTTGGAGGTCTCACTGGTATTTAGCAAGATACAAATTTGCAATTTTAAAAATTTTCTAGATACTTTTTTTTTTTAGTTTAAACAAAGGTGGCAAAATACCGCAGTGGCACTAAAAAAAATCATTAGCAATTTAATTAGCAGCTTAGTGTACCATTACCCAACTTGTTCTGCTCAGAATGCAGCTGTGACTGTAATTTTGCATCTGTTTCTTGGGCTGTAGTAACATTTTTGTAGATGAGTGGTCCAGCTGAAATTACATGGAATTCTTTCTCTGCCTTAAAGCTATTCCTTCCCTGCCCCCTCCCCATAAGATAAAAAGAAAGAGTTACTTGATGGTTAACTGCATTCAGGTTCTTGTGCAGCAAAAAGCGTAACAAAAGCTCATCTGAATGATAAAAACTTTTATTGGAATCTCAGTAATGTAGGTTTACACTATGATTTTTAGTTCATACAATGCCTCTAACAGATGCATGTTGAACATTTAAAGTGTACCATAATTAAATAACGCTATAGAAGGTAGGAAGGAATGTAAGGTAGTAAACACACACAGTTTGTGCGAAGTACCTGTTTCAGGTCTGCTGCATCCATTGCTGTTTCTACAATTTCTTTCCTGTTATTCAGGAGGACCTCATTCCACCTGCTGGTCAGACTACCCAAAGCATGCCTGAACTAACCAGATCAGAAATGTGTATTTTTAGATTTTGTAATGTTAATATGGTATCATAACTGGACTAAGACTCTTCCTGGAAGAGAAATTCTTACTGCCAAATAAACACTGTCCTTCTAAGTACTACAGTAACTTTTTCCAGGTAGCTGCTCAAAGGAGTCTTAGTTCATATCCAGAAATACAGTGGCTGAGGTGACTGCTGTTCAAGCAGGAAAAAAAAATCCTGAAAGTGTAAGCAGATTGGAGATTCTCCCTGTTACAAAAGAGATTTGATGACATTTAAATGCCTAAAGTGGCATTGATACTTTACCGTTATTAATATTTCATTTAAAGATGATTTGAAACATTTCTTCAACCTGTTTGAACGTGGCAAAATATTAGTGACAACAGACTGAAGATTTCCATCAGGTATTGTTTAAGTACTGGAAGACTGCAAAAAGAGTATTAACGGCTGATGCAAAATTATTTAGGGTATTCAAGACTAAAACAAGACAGAGTCATTTCCAGGAGCTATAAGAAAGCTAGGTAAGTGGGCAGCAAATTAAATCTTTTGAAATACGGTGTAAGTCATATTACTGATGACCAATACTAACACTGTTAGGTTCTAAATTAAGGGTAACCACTCAGGGCAGAGTAGAAGTAAAACATCAAAACTGCAGCTTTGTGTAAAAGTACAGTAAGATATATCAGAAATAGAATAGCAAGCAGCACTGGAAGTGTAATGCCATTGCATAAATCAGTATTTTGTCTTCACCTGAATTAGAATTGAATGTACTGTCACTCTGTTTTAAAGTATAATTGCAGAAATTATACTTTGAACCTGTATCATTCTGTGAAAGACAATGAGTGTGAACATAGGCTATGGTACAAGTGGCACAAGAAATGCCTTCAAATGAAGGAGATTAAAAGATCAGGATGTTTTAATGGGAGTTCAGTAGTGAAGAGCAGGAAAGGGGTATAAGAATATGCTGTATTCTTTTTGGAAGGGATATTGAACATTCTTTATACTTTTATATAATCAAGAGGAATTTAATAATATCGCAGTGTGATTTTGGTGAAGTCAAGAACGTAGTAGAAGCTGTAATGAAAACACTTATTCTTACAGATAACAAGAGTATGCATATCCATGTAGGTGTGAAAAATAGGAGTATTGTGCTTCAGGACATTTAAATCAGCTGCTGAATGTCTCGAATTGAGAAGAAAACTTCTGAGGGTTACATAATTGTCCATTATACTTCTAGGTACAACTTATATTCCTAGTTTTGTATTTATTGCCTCTGTAAATGTATACTTTTTTAGAAGCAGTTTCCTTATAACACCTGAACAATTTAAGATCAATTATGTAAATGTTAATGTTTTCTATCATTAATTTACTTAGTAATGAAATGTAGCCTTTTCACAGGTCCTGGATTCCTGCTGGATTGTAGAGGCTTTAAGTCACCTTTATATATGTAGCTTTGTGATCTGATATGATTTACATCCCGATATGACTTGTGGCTTTCACACGTTACCTGGTGAACCTGATTATTGGTCTTAAAAATACTGCTTTTGCCACCTGTACACCCCTTTTGAAATCTAAAATTGCTGTAGTTAAATTTTCCAGGGGATATTTGTGAAACCTTAAACCTATGAGGTTCAGGCCTTCTCAGAGTTCTGTGGGATTTGCTTTGATGGTACTATGTTTCCAAGAGGGGAAAAAAAAAATCACGAAACTGTAGGAAAAAGTGTGTTTCACTGCATTTAGACAGCCCTTCTTTAAGCCCTTGAGAAAATTTTGAAAGGGACTGGAAAAAGTGGTTTTGCCCAGAATGTCCCTTTATTCTTTGCATGACAGATGTTGATACAGTGAAGTCATTAGACATACGCCAGAGACAAAATTTTGGGTTTAAGGGACTCACTTGGAATTTTTATAATTAACACTTGTTTAGAAAATCATTAGAAATAACTATCTTTTAAAAGAATTAAAATCTAAAAATACTTGCTTATAGTTCATGTGTCTTAAATACTGTAGGAAAAATAATACCAGTTTTTGACTGCTTTTGAAAAGAAAACAAACAAACAAACAAAAAATCCCAAGTATTCATGCCAGAATACCTAAGTGTCTGGAAACCACATACTTTTTGTTTATGAAAACTGGGAGGCTAGTGTTTGAAGGGCTTTTTGGTTTTTTTGGGTGAAACTAATGTTAATGAGGAGGGGGAGCGATAGAGAGGCTTGGTGGACACCTAGCAGCCAGCGAAGGTCAACTCACCACAACATACAACATGGGCTTTCCATAAATGGGATTACATAAAGTTAGGAATTACTTAGAAAAATCTGTTACCAGATAGTAAATGTTCAGAGAGGCTTTGTTCGGTTTGGGGTGCAATATGTAACTACTTCCAGGAAAGGTAGAGGCCAGAATGTATTTAGTTTGCAGAAGGGAAGTTTACAACTGTTGTAGGTTTAGGTGGACATATGGTACTTCTTTATCTTTAGCCAATATTCATCTAGATTCTTTGTCTTTTGCTACATTTTAGCCATCTGATGCAACACCTTTGAAGACCAAAAAGAGAAATCTAAACTCTTACTCACCAACAACAGGAACACGCCAAATGAGTCCATTTTCATCTCCCACGAGTCATAATGTACAAAATCTCAGAAATCGCCAATCAAATGGTTAGTTGAACATTCTGTCTTTCTTACTGCAACATTTTTCTGGTTATTGGCTTGAGTAACTTATGTCTCGTGATATGTTTGATTTCTTTTCCTCTTAAAAAATTTTAATCTCTTTTGGAAAAGCTGATGTTGATTTTAAAGCTTGAATCTTTTCAGTATAAATCTTGGGGGTGTTTATGAAACAATTTGTTTATGAAACAAGTTTTGCTTTCTGTTGATCAATATTAAAAATGTTTGACTTTGGCTCAGCAAAAAAAACCTGCACTGGCATTTTTGTCAATAATTCCATTAATTCCACTCATTAGGCCTGTTCATGCTAGCAATGTCCTTTGTTTGCTTTCTTTCTAAGTCCCAGCTTTCATCGGCAGAATTGGTATGTGCTACTGACAGTGACTTTGTTCTTCTTTGGATTATGGATGATCAGAGGGCTGGAGCACCTCTCCTATGAAGACAGGCTGAGAGAGTTGGGGTTGTTCAGCCTGGAGAATAGAGGGCTCCGGGGAGACCTTATAGCAGCCTTCCAGTACCTGAAGGGGGCCTGCAAGAAAGCTGGAGAGGGACTTTTTACCAGGGCCTGTAGTGATAGGACAAGGGGTAACGGCTTTAAACTGAAAGAGGGTGGATTTAGATTAGATATAAGGAAGAAATTCTTCACTATGAGGCACTGGCACAG